ATGGCTGCTCTTTGCAATAAAATGTTTAGTGCCAATTCTTTTAACATGAAGAAATAAATTTCCAATCAATCAAATGCTGTTCTGTCAAGCTGGTGCTATAGCATACCTCCTGCTATTACAAAAAATGGATTCTGAATTTGTGCCATCAGTCTGCTTGCACAAGATAATAGCCAAGAGGACTAAAACACTGATTAGTAAATTTGGTGGCTTAGGCTTAGTAACTGTGAGTTCAATCCCTGGGCTGGATATACTAAGACTCAGTGGAAACAGGACAAACAGTAAATGACTAGTACCAAAGAAGAGACATCCAAAGACATGGGTAGTAGAATGAGAATGTTATATTATGGCACTGTCTGCCAAAGAATTCTGTTTGCGTCAGCTAGATAGCACCAAAATCAGTATATAAAGTATATCAGTATATAAAAAAAAAAAGTAAAAAATGTCTATATTTTAGACAGAAAATGTCTGAACATCTCATCCCTCTCACACAATGGGAACTTGTTAGTCACTATGGTACCTAGACTTTATGAACTTAACCGTGGTACTAGCCTGGTAACGAGATCTCATCAGTTTAGAGTTGAGGTCATTAGATGTAATCTTAAGTTCAATGCTAACAGTTTCTTTTCTCACACTTCTTGCTTGTGGAATTCTCTTCTGGCTCTGTTCTTTCTGACCAGTTTTGATCTTCAAAAGTTTAAATGCAATATCAATCATTATCTACTATCTTCCTAATTACTCTTCTATTGTTCTCCCTGTTTCATAATGTTTCTGTTTTCTAATTCCTTTGCACACGCTAACCCCTTATGTCTTAGTAGTTTTACTGCTTTGCATGGGGTGACTGTGATTAGAAAAAAAAAGAAAGAAAGTGTAACATGTGGTTTACACTGACTTTCTTTTAGCATGTGCTGGAGCGAAAGATAAAGCTATGCAGCCATGTCTTTTGTCTCTGAATGACTTTGAAGGCAGTCACATCTCTGCTCTTAAAAGTCAAAATCTGTATTTTTTTTTTTATAAGAATTTTTTCTTCAAAAGTAGGCTTGAGAAAAATAGGGTTTTAATTTCCTCTGATTGGTCAAATATTTCACATGGTGATGTTAATTTCTAACCAATAGACACTTTGAATTAAACAGTGTGTGTTTTATTATGGAATCTTTTTTGGCATGTTTTTAATATTGTCTGTTAATGGATAGAAATTGAAGTTTGGGAGTGTTTTAGTATGGTATGTATGTGGGTATGTAAATGTGTTAGAAATAGGGTTTCTTTCCTATAACATCAACTGAAGATGGTCTGATCATTTACTTCAACAATAAAGTTCATTTCTTTCTTTGATCATTTGTAATATATGTTTGTTAATGAATTTATTAATTGCTGTTTGTTTAAATTCCATATCTTTTTTTTACCTGGATTATGCAAATTATTTTTTGTGAGAAAACAAATTCTCATATTAGTTGTTAGAGTTATTAGGTATGTTAGTATATCTTTCTTATCAAATCGTAAAATGAAAGTTGTCCTAAATGGACTCTCTTCTAGATCCTTCTGTACAAAAGCAGGTAACCCCCAGGCCTCCATCCTCAGTCTGACTTTGTTTTTAATTTTCATTAACGACTTTCCTGATGACATCAGCTCTCAACTTTGTATGTATTCTGTGATGACACAGCTATTTATTCCTGTTTCAGTGCTCAGTCTGATCAGTTCAATAAGGTCAAATTGGTGGCTGATCTCAAAAACGACCAACAGTCTGTTGTTAATTAGGACAAAAGATAGTTTGTTAATTTTAATGCCTCTAGGACAAAACTGCTCTCTGCTCTGTATTTAAGAGATCCTTTTCTGCCTTCCATCGGCATGGCTGATGCTAACCTCCAAGAGAGTGACTTGTTGTGCATTTTCGGGTTATCATTCTTAGCTGACATTAAGTGAATCCATTACTAGGTCAGCTTACATATCTATAAGTCTACAATCCACCCATGCTTAGAATATTGCTGCCACATACGGTCTGGTGCCTCTGCTATATATTTAGAGATTCTTGATAAAATCCAAAAAGAAGAATCAGCAATATTATTGGTCCTGACCTGGCATCTTGGCTTCAGTCACTTTCCAACTGTCATAAAGTTGATTCCTTGTGCCTTTTCTATAAACATTTTCATGGTAATTGTTCAGATGAGCTCTTCACTTTTCTTGTAAATTGTTTTTATATTGTAAATACACATTGGGGCTAGTTTTTAATAGTCGTCTTACTCCCCTCCACCCACAGACAATAAATTGTACATATGGGATTTAGTTAGGACTTTCATAGAGACAATGAGGTATTATGGTGGATGTAGTAAGAAAGGTAGGTAAGAATGTATTGTTCTAGTTCCACGTGCCATGTTTAATGGATGTCACTTATCAGTTATCTCTTGTTAATTTCCCTCTGAAAGTTCTCCACTGCCTTAAACGGGTATTGAACTCACACTCTTTTGGTCTTGTCACTGGATCTAACTAACACCTTTATCCACTCTAGACAGTCTACCCCAGTGAGCGAAATAAAGAGTTCAGTTCAACATTCCAGCCACCTGAAGAATGCCGGAGCGTACAATGGCTAAAACATTGTAATAGATATGGCAACAAATATGAGGACAATAGTCTGAATAATGTAAAGCAGTAAATGTCTAAAATAAATTTTCCATATTTCGGAGGCTTAGAAAAGACTAAAGAAATGATTATAATATGCATATTAACAAAAAATGATTTGGTCTGCAATGAGCCAACATGCCCAGGACATGTTAAATTATTAGTAGTGTAAAATTTCAAAAGAAAAAAAGTCATAATAATAACACTCCATAATTTCTTATCCTTTGAAGCTTTTAGCAATGTTTGCCTTTTTGTTATCCTCACCTACTCTTGACACAATCTCATAGGTAGGTTATTCACTGCTTAGTTTTTGGACTGTTTTAGCCCAGCCAACTTATTCATCTGACCTTGCATCAACCAAGTATTACTTTTTAAATAGTTTCAAAAAGTTTTAATAGAGAAAACATTCTCTAATAAAAACTATATATATACATATATATATTATGAAATGGACTAAGCTCAACAATTATTTTAATATATTTATTGTTTATATGTTATTTCTATAGATACAAATATTTAAGTAAATGCTTTGTTTATAATAAACAGTATTGACAGTTACCGACCTGAATGTCCAAGAAATTTCATAGAAAATATGTATCCACTGACAGGAATCAGATCTGTATTTTTCACGGAACCGTCATATAGCCTGATGTGTTATACCATTTAGCTAAGGAGGAAGCATCTGGTTAGCAATGTCAAATTACTGCTTTTAAACAACAAATTTCCCATGATTTCTCTCGAATGCTCAAAGCATATTTTGATGTCATATATTATGAAATGGACTAAGTTCAACAAGGAGTTTAATATATTTATTGTTTATACATATTTTCTATGAAATTTCTCAGATATTCAGGTTGGTAAATGTTGTTAATACTGTTTATTATAAACAGAGCATTTACTTAAATATTTGTATCTATAAAAATAATGTATAAACAATATATTATGAAATGGATTAAGTCTGACAATTATTTTACATACTTTCTGTTTATATGTTATTTTTATAGATATAATTTATTTAAGTAAATGCTGTTTCTTAATATTAATTATATTTACTGGCCGGGATGTTCAAGAAATACAGTAAAAATATATGCGCTCTCTGATAGGGATTGAACCTATTACCCAGATGGAAACAGTCATTTGATCTGATGTGCTGTTAACCATTCAGCCACAAAGAAATGTCTGGTTAGCAAAGTCTGAATTACTGTTTATAAACACAAACCTTCAATGATTTTTCTTGGTTGATCATTTCTGCTCATGAGAATATGTTAACGTAAACAATGACATCATATGAAATGGATTAAGTCTGACAATTATTTAAGATATTTTCTGTTCATACATTATTGTTATAAATATAGTTTATTTAAGTAAATAACTGTCTTTTAATTAAACAGTATTAATTACATTTATAGGCTTGAATCTTTATGAAATGACATTACCAATGAAGGATACAGGTTTGATTCCTGTTGGAGAATGTACATTTTCTACAAAATTTCTTGAACATTCAGGCTGATAAATGTAATTAACACTGTTTAATTAAAAGACAGAGCATTTAATTAAATAAATTTTATCTATAAAAAAGTGTATAAACAAAAAAAAATATATATATATATATATATATATATATATATATATATATATATATATATATATTTAATTTGAAAATTATAACATAAAAATGTGATAAAATCATTACAAAAATAGCTGTTTTCTTTCAACACTTTTGGTGCCTTATCAAGTGATGGTGTTGAATGTTCAACACCATCACTTGATAAGACACCAGAAGTGTGATTTGTGTTTTCAAATTTCTTAAATAAATCATTTTTATTATATCTTACCTATCATTGGCCGAAGAGTAACAATTATAGTTCCGAAACCTGAAAGTTTTTGTGTAACGATGTAAAATAATTTTATTGTAATCTAAAATTTTTTAATAATATTTTGCTCTAAGCTGTATTGAGCACTTTTTTAAAAAGTAAGCACTAAGAACCATGGATTCTAACTCCATCAGTTCTTTCTCTTTTTAAAAATATATATATATATATATATATATATATATATATATATATATAATGCTCCAGGATTGTTTTTACATGTTTTTCTCCTAATAATTGTTTTTTGGTTTTCTATTAAAATTAATTACCATTTTATGAATTTCTGTAATTTAAAAGAAAGGCAAAAATAATCCACAGACAAACATTATTAATCTTTAAAATCTTTGCCAGACTTTCAAAACACCTGTTTAAAGTGGCATCATTGTTTGATGATTTCCTGAAAGCAGCTCTGTCATTCAGAAACTCTCCAGGTTCAGTGAGTTATTCAACCCAAAATAATGGGTTCTCAAGATCCATCAGCCATTTTTGTTCTCAAATAGGACAAGCAATGAGAAGGCAATGACGCTCTCCTTTGGCTGTCACTTACCTCCTAAGTTGGAGATCAATTCTGATGCAGGAAGTGGTATGCCATTGTCAATGGAAGAAAAGAAGTCTTGAAGATATCTGACATGGGGGTGGAGTTACTAGGAAAAAATGTGAAGAAAGGGAGTTTTAAAACGATGGGAGTGATACTGACACTAGATGGATGTTCCATTGTTCCAAGCAGGTAAACATAAGTTATAAAGCCAGAAGGGAGCAGGATTGTTGGGGATTTATCCAAGGATTTATTATTTTCTTTCCTGTTTAAAATTTTATCTTATTCTTTATTTTGTATTCATTTTGTTTGAACAGGGTTTGGGGGAATCTTCTCTTTCTTTCCTTTATTCATTCATTTTTCTATTTATTCAATTTGTTTTCTTTCTTTTTAGCATTCATGTTTTCCTTCATTTTTTTTTTCACTTTTTTCAAATATTTCTCTGTCTAATCTCTAGATTCCAGTTTCTTTTCTTCATTTTCTTTTTTCCAGAATTTTGCTTTTTTTTTCTTCATATTCTTCAATTTTTTCTTCATTCATTTACTTTTTTTCTGGAAATTTGAAATTTGATATTTTTTCTTTTCATTTTTTTGAGACAATTTTTTCTTCTTCATATTCATTTTCTTTTTTTTTTTTTTTTTTTTGGACAATTTCTTCTTCATATTCTTCTTTTCTTTTTCTTCTTCATTTTTTTTTTTTTCTGGACAATTGGCTTTCTTCTTCATATTCTTCTTTTTTTTTTTCTTCTTTTTTTTTTTTTTCTGGACAATTGGCTTTCTTCTTCATATTCTTCTTTTCTTTTTTTCTTCTTCATTTTTTTCTTTTTCTGGACAATTGGCTTTCTTCTTCATATTCTTCTTTCTTTTTTCTTCTTCATTTTTTTCTTTTTCTGGACAATTGGCTTTCTTCTTCATATTCTTCTTTTCTTTTTTCTTCTTCATTTTTTTCTTTTCTGGACAATTGGCTTTCTTCTTCATATTCTTCTTTTCTTTTTTCTTCTTCATTTTTTTTCTTTTTCTGGACAATTGGCTTTCTTCTTCATATTCTTCTTTTCTTTTTTCTTCTTCATTTTTTTTCTTTTTCTGGACAATTGGCTTTCTTCTTCATATTCTTCTTTTCTTTTTTCTTCTTCATTTTTTTTCTTTTTCTGGACAATTGGCTTTCTTCATATTCTTCTTTTCTTTTTTCTTCATTTTTTTCTTTTTCTGGACAATTGGCTTTCTTCTTCGTATTCCTCTTTTCGCTGTTCTCCATTGTCTTTCTTCTGGACATTTGATGTTCTTTATATTCCTCTTCCTTTATCCTCTTTCATTTTCTTTTTCTGTCATTTGCATTTCAGATTTTTCTCTCCTCACTTTGCTTCATTCATTCTTTTTCCTGTTTTTCTTTTTTACTTTGGAAATAATTTTTCTTTCTTTATCTTATCCTTCTTACCTTCTTTTCCTGTTTTTTGTTTCCTTTGATATCATTTCTTTTCTTATCTTTTACTTTCCTTTGAAGTCATTTGTTCTTTTTCATTCTTCCTTACTTTTTGTTCATTTATTTTTTCATGGGTACATTTATTCTTTCTTCCACTAGTTCATTTTTCTATATTTCACTTTCTCTATTCTTTAACTTTTCTATTTTTCTTTCTTTAAAAATCCTTTTCTTTCTTTTATTGTGACCACAGACATTCATTCTCCCTTCATCTTTTCTTTTTTCTTGTTTGTTATAAACCTCATCTATAACTCTTCCTTTCTTTCGAATTCCTTTTGACTTTATTTCATTTCTTTCTTAAAAGAAGAGACGGGAGAAAGAAGGAAGAGAAAATAAAAAGAAAAATGAAAGAGGAAAGAAAAGGAAAGAAAAGAGAAGAGAAAAGGAGAGAAAAGAAAAGATAAAAGGAGAAAAAAGGAAAGTGAAAAGGAGAGAAAGGGAAAGTGAAAAGGAGAGAAAGGGAAAGTGAAAAGGAGAGAAAGGGAAAGTGAAAAGGAGAGAAAGGGAAAGTGAAAAGGAGAGAAAGGGAAAGTGAAAAGGATAGAAAGAGACAAAAGGAAAGAGGAGAGAAAAGGAAAGAGAAAAGGAGAGAAAGGGAAAGTGAAAAGAAGAGAAAGGGAAAAGTGAAAAGGGAGAAAGGGAAAGTGAAAAGGAGAGAAAGGGAAAGAGAAAAAGGAAGAGAAAAAGAAGAAAGAGGAAAGGAAGAGAAAAGAAAAAGAAAGAGAAAAGGAAAAAAAGAAAGAGGAAAGAGAAGAGAAAAGGAAAGAAAAGAGAAAGAGGAAAGAGAAAAGAAAAGGAAAGAGAAGAGGAAAAGAGAGGAAAGAGAAAAGGAAAGAGAAGAGGAAAGAGAAGAGAAGAGGAAAGAGAAGAGAAAAGGAAAGAGAAGAGAAAAGGAAAGAGAAGAGAAAAGGAAAGAGAAGAGAAAAGGAAAGAGAAGAGAAAAGGAAAGAGAAGAGAAAAGGAAAGAGAAGAGAAAAAGGAAAGAGAAGAGAAAAGGAGAGAAAAGGAAAGAGAAGAGAAAAGGAGGAAAAAGGAAAGAGAAGAGAAAAGGAGGAAAAAGGAAAGAGAAGAGAAAGGAGGAAAAGGAAAAAGAGAAGAGGAAAGGAGAGAGAAGAGGAAAGGAGAGAGAAGAGGAAAGGAAAGGAGGAAAAAGGAAAGAGAAGAGAAAAAAGGAGGAAAAGGAAAGAGAAGAGAAAAGGAAAGAGAAGAAAGAGAAGAGAAAAGGAGAAAAGGAGGAGAAGAGGAAAGGAAGAAAAAGGAGGAAAAGAAAGGAAAGGAGGAAGAAGAGGAAAGGAAGAGAAGAGAAAAGGAGAGAAAAAGGAAAAGAAGAGGAAAAAAGGAGGAAAAGGAAAGAGAAGAGAAAAAAAGGAAGAAAAGGAAAGAGAAGAGGAAAGGAAGAAAAGGAAAGAGAAAAGAAAAAGGAAAAAAGAGAAAAGGAAAGAGAAGAGAAAAGGAAAGAGAAGAGAAAAGGAGGAAAAAGGAAAGAGAAGAGAAAAGGAGGAAAAAGGAAAGAGAAGAGAAAAGGAGGAAAAAGGAAAGAGAAGAGAAAGTGAAAAGGAAAAGAGAAAGGGAAGGAAAAATACAAAAATAGAAAAAATAAGAGAAAGACAAAAGAGATATGAAAAAGGAGAGGAAAATAGATAAAAAAACAGAAAAATAGAAAGAGCAAAAATGAATAAAAAAAGAGAAAGAAAAAAAATGAAAAGAGAAAGAAAATAGAAAAACAAAACAAAGAGACAAATGAAGAAGCACTTAAAAAGAAGTTAGAAAGATAAAAAAAACTGAAAGAAAAAAAAACTTGTACAAATTGTATGCCTATTTTTTCATATACGTCTGCACTTACACATTAATATTAGCATTTCAGCCAAAGATTTTGTGTCTGCTTAAGTGTGCCTTACTAAAGAAATACACCATAAAATGTATGTCTGTGCTTGGGAGTCTTGGCTTTGTCTTGGAAGCGGAATAGTAGAAAAGGGTAAAGAAATAGAAGTAAGGGTTGAGACATGAGGTGATGTGGAGGGAAGCAAGAGTTGAGGAGACAGTCTGGCTTTTCCACAAAGGCTGTCCAAACTTTGACCTCAAAGTATTCACAGACTTGCTGACCATTCTGCTAGCTTTTGTTATTCAAAGTAGACAGTCCACAAACCTCGGTTTAGGTCAACTGTTCATTTTCTTTCTTTCAACTAGCAACCCTATTCCCTCTACACAGGGACCTTTTTGATGTGATATTTCCCCTCATAGTAATTAATAAAGCTCACAAATATAGATTTTCCTTGATTCAATATTTTTGTCTTTGCACTGGAGAAGACGTTAAGTTCAACATATTTATTTAACCTTTTCATTGAGAAAAGCTAAAAGATATAAAAATACCACAAAAAAAGAAACAAAAGACCAAAAGTCAGACATCTAGCTAGAGTAACAAAAAGTGCTCTATGCCTTGGTTACCAAGACAGAGCAGTAATGCTACTCAGCATTACACCTCAAATCTTAAGAGACCGAGAAGTCCTACAATGATTTATTGCTGGTTGGGGATAATCTTAAGATAGGTGTTGATGGCAGATACAGAAGGAAAATAATAGTAATTTTTTAAAAAAATTAATAAAGGGAAATGTGGGTATTCATTTTGTTTGAACAGGGTTTGGGGGAATCCTCTCTTTCTTTCCTTTATTCATTCATTTTTCTATTTATTCAATTTGTTTTCTTTATTTCTTTTTTTCACTTTTTTCTTTTAGATATTTCTGTGTCTTATCTCTAGATTCCAGTTTTCCTTTTTTTCCAAAATTTTGCTTTTTTCTTCATATTCTTCATTCTTTAATTTTTTTTTCATTCATTTTATTTTTCTGGGCATTTGGCTTTCTTTTTCATTTTTTTTCCTTTTTCTTGACATTTGGCTTTCTTTTTCATTTTTTTTCCTTTTTCTTGACATTTGGCTTTCTTCTTCATATTCCTCTTTTCTTCTTCATTTGGCTTTCTTCTTCATTTGGCTCTTTTCTTCTTCATTTGGCTTTCTTCTTCATTTGGCTTTCTTCTTCATTTGGCTTTCTTCTTCATTTGGCTTTCTTCTTCATTTGGCTTTCTTCTTCATTTGGCTTTCTTCTTCATTTGGCTTTCTTCTTCATATTCCTCTTTTCTTCTTCATATTCCTCTTTTCTTCTTCATATTCCTCTTTTCTTCTTCATATTCCTCTTTTCTTCTTCATATTCCTCTTTTCTTCTTCATATTCCTCTTTTCTTCTTCATATTCCTCTTTTCTTCTTCATATTCCTCTTTTTTCTTCTTCATATTCCTCTTTTCTTCTTCATATTCCTCTTTTCTTCTTCATATTCCTCTTTTCTTCTTCATATTCCTCTTTTCTTCTTCATTTTTTCCTTAACATTTGGCTTTCTTCTTCATATTTCTCTTTTCTTCATTTTTTCTTTTTTCTTGACATTTGGCTTTCTTCTTCATATTCCTCTTTTCTTTTTTTCTTCTTCATTCAAATCTGGACATTTATTGCTGGTTGTGAACAATCTTAAGATAGGGGTTGATGGCAGATGCAGAAGGAAAACAACAGTAATTTCTAAAGAAGCTAATAAAAGAAAATATGAAGAAAAGACAAAGCACAAAGTGTAAGAGAACAGAATGTATAATTCTCAGTAGAAAGATTAGCCCAGTATGCATACTACAAAATGGAGATGTTAAAATCAAGGAAGTACAAAAATTTAAATACCTGAAAAAGATTATAACACATAACAAGAAATACGACATGGAACAGCAGAAGATGCCTTCCACAGGCTAAGCAAAGTATTTTGTAAAATACATCTACATCAGAGTTGCCAAAAGTGCAGAGCTGCAAAGTACAAAATGAGTTGTGAGATAGAGCTAAAAATAGATCTAGAAGAGAAGTGTGTTCATCAGGATCACTGGAAAAATACATAGTAAAGTCTACCACTTGCATGAGTGATTGAGAAATTAAGGATATGGATTCCAGTGGGGTCAGTGACAGAGTGTTTAAGTGGGCATTATTGTCACCAAACACAAATATATTTGCAGACAGGTGTAGGGAAATGGCCTTGTCTATATTATCTGAAATACTATCTATAGCTGAGTTAAGTAGAGACAGATGGAGACACATGTAAGAGTGGTGTGGAGATTCAAGCGAGAGTTCTCTAACCAGTGGGAGATATTCATGGACATAAACTCCTAGGCCAGGTATGTGGACATTAGAGTCATTCGTAAGGAGAGGAAGATCGCCAAGAATAGAGAAATCAGAGGAGAGAAACAATTTCTCTTGTTAGCTATTGTGGCATGCAGGGGCTTCCTTACTTTGCTTGATTCAGCAGTAATGAAAGTAATCAGCAGGGTACAACCAGAAGTCCACACAAATCATTAAAAATGCTGACCAAACCCTATTCAGTCTTTTTTCGACTCTTCCTTTTCAGTGTTTGCTATCTTCAAGGCCCAGCAGGAAGGGCTACTCACAACCCTTGCTGCATAAGATATGTGGTCTGTCCTGGTTACTTGAAACTCAGATTTCTCATTCTTTGTGGGGACAAGTGGAGAAATCTCCCTTTAAGTCATCAACCCAAAGCACTCCTTACAACCCTTGCTGCAAAAGACACACACCAGTCCTAGCAGTTTGACAGATTTCTCATTCCTTGTGGGAACAAGCATGGAAATCTCTCTCTACAAAATATCTACTGAAAGGAAGAGCTTTGTTAACTGGGGAAACCCAACTCTTTCTCCTGCAAAAAATACCAATATTTTACACTCTCTCTTTCAACCACAAATAAAAGCTGTTGAACAGTTATTTTGAGACTTGATTTTGTTTTCCCCACACTTACTGCCTAGCACATATTTATGGAACCAGGAAAAATTCTTAAAAAAAAAAAAACAAATAAAAAATGCTGAACTACTTTGATGTATTTTTGTCTTGTCTGGTTTTTGCACGTCCGTACATTGAGAGCGCCTCTCTCAATTGAGAAAAGCACTGGTGTTATATAGCTCTCCCAGTCACACGCTGACAGTTGGTTAATACCTGCCCAGTATCATTCATATGCAAACAGTCAGCACAATCTACACTAAGTAGAAGTTCTTCTCTCAACAGCCCATTGTGTAAGGCAA